TAGGGAGGGTGGGTGGGGGACACAAAGGGATCCTGCCACCTAGGAACAATTCAGGTATTGCCTGGAGTGCTACATTGGGCGCTGTAAGGTCTGGGATCTGTTCCCAGTTCTGCCACTTACTCTCTACGGGCCCTTGGGTATGTTACCTTCTGTTAAATTGAGCCAGCGATCCTGACTGGGGTGGGAGTATGGTTGCAAGGCCCATTTCTGGTAACATGGAGCCCAATACAAAGTATTTTGAGGCCCTGAACCAGAAGACACACTAGGAAAGGACAGGGCTGTTGTTCCTGGGCTGAATCCTGAGGTCCTTTCGCAGCCTAATGCCCACTGTAGTCGGTGGGAGCTTGCCTGAGTAACTTGGGAGAAAGGGTCCCAGGTTTGCCCCTCTGTCGCCATATGTGGTGGTTAGAGGGTTGGTGTTTGTTTGGTTCAACCCTGTTTTGCAGTGCTAGCCTGTGGTTGTTCCTTTCCCCTGTATTTTTTATAACTAAGGCCTGGTCTGCTCTGTGATGTTTGGCAGCAAATCTTTGCATGTGTCCTCCCTCAAAGCTCTTCTTTGCTAGCCCAGGAGACCCTTCTCTGGCAGCAGAGTTAAACCGCCTCTCCTGAGCAAAAGAAGACACACGTAGACACTCCTTCCCCACCCTTTACTGCCTGTAGGGTCCCTTCAGCAGCTGGTGCCCTGGCAGCACTTCTGCCTCAGTAAAGCTGCACAGAGCTGGCAGAAGCACGTGGTTGTGCCCAGGCTGTGGGGGCTCCATAGTGGTGGCTGCTGGCCTTGACCAGAACTCCTGCTGGCAGAGCCAGGTAAGTGTGGACAAGGCCTAAGGTAGTTCGGTAGCAAAATGGCATCCTTCAGGCTTCTTGTGCTCCTGCCACTTATTTTTTTCCCCACGTCTGCAAGGGTGCTGATTGGTGGGTTGGAAATGTGGGAGGGGAACGAAGGGCAGGAGCCAGTTGGACTCAGCATGTGGTGTCCGTGATACCTGTAGAAGGAGCTCCTTTCCCAGTCCCAGCTGGTGCCCATCATTCATACACTCATGGCTTTGCTTGACCCCAGTAGCTGCAATTCATTCCCAATGCAGTTCCCCCAGTGGTAGCAATAGGGAATGCCAAGGCATTTATACCAAAGGAGTCCTGTAGCCATGCTCAGAGGGTATAAAGTGCTCCCCCCCACCTCCAATCCTGCCTGCATCACTGTTAGAGTTGTACCAGCAACAAATTCCAGGTGCAAGATTGCTGGCACGGCTGCAGCCCACGTGTTAGAGTGGTGCCACTCCGTTGGTTTGATGGCAGTGGTGGGGAGTTGCCTGCTTGTCAGTCAGCAGAGCTACTTCCCCAGGATCTCACCCGATGTTTGCTCGGCATGTCCTGGTGGCAGAGCTGTTTTGTGGGATTTCATCCCTCATTAAGATAAAGAGGGTTTGAACCAGTTCCAGGAGAGGAATGTGCGTGAGCCGGAGTCAGTGCAGACCTCAACTGATCGCCAACAAGAAGTGATTTATAATATCACTTCTGTGCACTTGGCTTTATGCCTCTGTCAAGGGATGGCCTGTATCTATACAAATATATCTGCACTGTACAATGTATATTACTTTCCAAAGGCAGGAGAAGAGCATAGCTTTGCCACACTTGGGAAAGTTTTAAAAGCCTGCTGTATCCTTTTCTCTCCACTGTTTTGCATCTGCTCATCACCTTGTGCATTGGGAAGGGCCTCCAGGTGCTGTATAAGACCTTGGTGGAATAAATCAGTGCTCACCCCATTTCACCCAAAGAAGGGACAAAGGAAATATTCAGGCCAGAGATGCTAAGAGAGAATTTTGCTTCTGGGCAAAATGCCAGGTGATCTACAGGCTAGATCTCCAGGAAAGGTTTCTGGCTGTACATGGCAGCGAAGTGCTTCTGTGTGCACCTGATTTGCTTGGGCAGTTCCAAATATGCATGCGTTTGCAGTGCTTTGACATGCTGATGACCAGCAGTGATTCCTGCTGGCTGCTTGCTCAGAAATTCCTGCAGCTGCATGAGCAAAGGAAGTGTGCAGATTTGTGCACACATGATTGGGCGTGCTCTCACCACTTGCTTCCAGCACTGCTTGTGGAGCAGGCAGGAGCAGTTGTCTGTCAGACACAGCCTGCACAGTGGGGCAGGTACCACACATGTCACAGAGGGTGAAGGACTGAGCTGATCCTGCCATTTGAAGGCAAAGCCTCTAAGTTCCTCATCCAGGTTCTTGTGTATGCTGACTAGGTTTGGGTATTTGACCGGTTAAATAAAGTTTGGTCAATTGACCAGTTCAACATTGGTCAAAAATTATAAGAAATTGCCAATGGGTCCAAATAATACACAGAAAAAGCACACATTTTCTGTTAAGAAATGTGTTAAAAACGAATACTTCTGTCAAGAAAACTACAAAAATAATGTCATTTTTTTGTAAAATTTCTATAATCTTTGACTGGTCAATTGACAGTATTAGACCAGTCAGTTGACTGGTTTGTCTACCCTAGTGCTGACCATCTTAATATAGGGCTGTCTCACTGGGAGAGGGCTCATCTGCTTTTGTATGACCTTCTCTCAAGAGAACTGAAACTGTGCATGCAACCAGCACTGGGGCCTGGCTTCCATGAAGGAAAAATAGAACAAGACACCCAGGATCAAGCCAAGACACTTGGGAGGAATTTACACTATCTTCATGGTACAAGAAAGAGGTTATTTGATAGTGGGTATAATTTAAGGAGAGACACAGGTAGGTTGTCAGGACAGACTTCCTAGCAGTGAGATATGTTAGGCTACGGGATAGTCTTTCCAGGCACATTTCCATGCTTGCAAAGTCTGCACCAAGACTGGGCAGAGCCTGAGAAGGACACGTCTGATGGCGATGTTTCCTGCTGCCACCTTGGGGAGGTGAACCAAATGCTACATCTCTTCTCTGATCCTCAAGGTGAAAATTGCAGTGGTAGGAAAAGGAGTGGGATCTGCAGGTATTGCTGCAGACTCTTTGCAGCAGGTAAACATATGCCTTGCACCCAACAAGTAATTGGGCATGCAAATTAGGAACGTGGATATGCTTGCATTGTCATGTGTGCAGCTGGCAGTGCGCTGTTGGGGAGCCAGCACCCCTTTGACGGCAGTGCATTGTGTTGGAGCAAAGTTGACCCACTTGGAGGCATTGGTTGGCACGAGCTGGTGTCACCAGGTGCAAAGCCACACCAGGCAGAGACTCCCAGCTCCTTCTTGCCCCAAGAAGAGTTTCTGAAACAGCCAACAACAACAGGGGTATGCAAGTAGCATGAAGCACATCCACACCGTGAGCCCCTGCTGTTGTGTGCATCAGACTCTCAATCTTGGATGTGACATGGGTAACTGCTTGTTGGAGCACCAAGGGGTTGAGTCGCACAGAAGGCTTTAACAGCACATGAATTATGCCAGCAAAGTAAACTGCCCCAATTGCTGTGAGAGACTGGGAAGGCTCATGGTATTTCTCAGGGTCCAGATGTCCAACCTCACACACTGCAGGCATCAAAACTAATCTTTGTACCAGATCCAAGGACTCATCTCTCCTGGCTTTAGGCATCTCCTGGTCCTGCCTCCTGAGGAAATGCCAGGGACAGGCAGCAGCTGGGACTCTATAAGGCCCAGTGATTTCTTTGGGCCCTGTAGCAGAATTTTTCAACCTGTTAATAAGACACTGTGGGGAAAGGGAGAGGGAAAAATAGAGATGAGCTCTGAAAAATGCACAGTATTAGGTGCCTGATGAGCTAGATCTCGTCAATAAGACACTGAGCGTTTGGTGGCTTCGCTCAAACTGCCAGAAGCCTGCTCCCTGTATGCACATAGGCATGCACTTCACACACATTCTCTTGCACACTTAGCTCATTGCACTTGTGAAAAGAAGTCTCCCAGGGCCCTTCTCCTCAGGTCATCTTTATGCAGAAGCACACTGATTGGGTTGAAGGATGCAGCCAGGAGTGTGGGTAGAGTTGCCTCCTGGAGTCAAGCTGCTATCATTATGTAGTCAGGGTAGCCCATCCCTGGGTTCGCTTCAGAGAGGATCAGGCATTTGGAGCATCCACAGAACCTGTCTTGTATTTGGGTTATGGCAGCTCCCTGGAATTGCAGGCAGACTCCAGAACAACCATTACCGCAAACTTCTGTTGCTGGTATTTGGCTGCAGACCTGTCACAATCTCATAACGGTGTAAGTCGATGGTGAGTTCCTGTGGGGTCAGCTTTGGGCCATGCACTTCAGCTGGCAGCAGCAGCCAGAATGGGTGCTGTCTGCCGTCTTTGCTCTTGCTGAGAAACATGGGTTCATCAGAAAGAACAAAGGAAAGGGGAGAATTGACTGGCTTCAGATGATGGGAATGGGTCACCTTTAACCTGCAGTGCAATGGCAAGGAGAAACTGAAAATCATTCCTATCCAACGGGCCTTTGATGGCAAGTATGAAATGATGGGACAGTCTTGGTCCAGGTCAGGGAGAACAGGTATTCACATCATAATGGACTGGGTCCACCAATGTCATTCCTCGCTGCTGGAGATCTCTGCAGACTGGCCAAGGATTGAGCAGGCTGGAGGAATGCAACCTGTCATCCTTAGAAGATGTCTCTGCAGGGCAGGGGTGAGGCACATGTTCAGAGTGGCCATGCTTGGATATCACTTCTGCTTCAAGGGGTGACAGTCTATCCTCTTCCCAGAGCTCTCAGCTCAGTTTGAAGGATCCAAATGATGGATTAGTTAACGCCTCTCCAGCCGCTCCTACGCAGAAAGCCTCTTCTTCATCATTTGCTGTGTTTCAAGGCACTGGACAGTGAGAGCTGCGGAGCTTCACTGGGCTGGAAAATGAAATGGGTCAGCACCTGGGGGTGACAGCTGAAAAGAGTAATCAGTTCTGCTAACAGGTCCCTTTAAACAGCAGGAGTGGACACCTCAGCATCTATATAACGCGTGGTGTGAGGGAGAGAGAGAAAACTGTGAGCTGGGAGTGGAGCAGATAAACGAGATGTGATTGGGAAGGCTGCTCCAATTTATTCTTCATCTGTGTCACTTTCCTCTGGCTGGAAGTTTTACAGGGAGCTTTTATAAGCAATCAAAGGCAGTGACTCCCTTGCTTTCCTCTCATGAAAGCGGGCGAGAGGAGGAGACCAGAGGCAGGACAGCTTCCCTGTGTCGAAATGCAATTGCTGAGTGGGCCTGTTGGTTTACGGTCATTATTTTGCTTTTGCATTACAACACAACTATTAATAACCAGCACAGCACCCACCTTGGGTCTCCTTCTCCCTCTCTCACTCTCTCTCTTCCAAGCTGACTTAATGAAGCCAAGTTTGCAAATGAAACATAATTTCAAAGACAGGCGTGTTGTCGGAAGGTCTGGGGATGATGTATGCCTGTTCCTGCTCGTTAGCAGCTGTCTCTTTAATTACCGCAGATGCTAACGAGATGCTAACAGCATATGGTGACAGGGAGAGCAGCCGCACTTTGCACCAAAGTACAATTTATTTGCGAGGCGGCCGGGCAAGGAGGGGAGGGGAGAGGGCAGTGGGGTGGAGCGCAGTGGACTTTCTCCTAGCCCTTCGCACCCCCGCCTCCCCTCTGCTCGGGTTTAAAGCCAGCTGGCAGGAAGTGGTGCACTTTAGGGATGCTCGAATCACAGGGCACAGTGTGGGCAGCTTTGTTATAGGGCTGTTTCTCTTGCCATCCCCACACTTTCTCTCTCATCCTTCTCCTGCCCTCTTCCCAGTACTTTTCCCACCCCATCCCTCACTCTGCTCTTAACCTAGTGCCCAAGTATTTGGCATGTCCTTGCTTTTCCCAGTTGAATGCACGGTCCATCACATCCCCTTCATCTGCTTTGTTCTCCTGCAATAATGCCTGTTTCCCTTTGTCTCCCTCTCCCACCATTTTTGTAGCTGGCACCTGTATGCTGAAATCACTATGCCTGACAGCTCTGAGCTGGGTGAGGTGGCACTGGTTTGATGGAGGGGGTATGCACTCCAGGTAGTCAATTGGCTTGATTGATTGAAGGGAGATTCCACCAGTCAGCCTAAGCTGCCATTGAGAAAGCTGCTGATTGAAGTCTTATGAGCTGGCCTTTGGCTCCCTCTTTCTGTTGGATGCGTCTGCCTGTGGCCTCTTTTGCCACATTATCAGGATACCCCATTTATCCTTCCATTCAGGAGTATGAAGCCAGAGATGAAATCCCAAATCCTCACCCCTTTCATAGGCCTTCATTTCCAGCTTGTGGGTGGCTTTTCTTGGCCAGTTCAGACTGTAATTCAGACTGGATCATATTGCACAAGCTCAGGAGGCACCAGCCATCAAGACCCAGATGGCCACCTCAACTCACCTGTAGTCAGAGAGGTGTTCCCAGCCTGGGTCAGCTCTGATGCTGACTGGCTGCTTGACCAAGTTTAGTTTCTCTGCTTTAGTTTTCTCACCTTTCAAATGGACTCTGCAAGGTTGAACAGTGTGGACAGTCTGGATTTTTTTGGGAACCATTGTGTGACTGGGCTAGGGACTGTGATTCTAGTTCAGACATAAACTAGAAAATAAACAGAAGCTGGCCGTAAGGATGATAGGAGGCTGCCCTTAAGAGAAAGAAGTTACTTCCGTTTTTCCCAGCCTTTGAGATCAGAGTGCTTACGATGATATTTTACAGTTTATTCCCTCCACGGCATGTAGTCACACAGCTATCTGCTCTTGGTAACGTAGTGATGACACAGTCATATAGGGCTTCGTGGGCAAAGGCTGGACGCTGTGTTTGTAAGTCCCATGTGGGCCTGTGAATTGAGGTTAGATCCTGTAAGGACATGGCAGGTTCCCATCATGCAGTAGCTGGGGACTTCCATGAAGGGTTAGGATTGGTGTCTGGTGCCCTCTCACTTTTTGCTCTTTCCTACTTCTCTCCCTTCAGGAGTGTGCTGGAGAGCCTCTTTTCATGCTGTACTGTGCCATCAAACAGCAGATGGAGAAGGGACCCATTGATGCCATCACAGGAGAGGCCCGCTACTCCCTGAGTGAAGACAAGCTTATCCGGCAACAGATCGACTACAAAATGCTGGTTAGTGCAAGCAGGAGCTTCGCCCAGGACTGGTTCTTGCCAGGACCCCTAGGTTCAGCTATTTAACAAGGTCTTTATGGCACCAAGGTACTTTGCAGAGAGCAGTTTATCTCATTTTTCTCTCTAGCATTTCTAGCTGTGCCTCTTACCCTGTCTGCGTCGCACCCTCTGCACCTTGGGCTAGGAAGGGTGGGTGGTACATGGCAGATGGCGAAACCTGAACACAGGCTGATTCCCCCCTTTGAACAGATGGATGGATGCACTGCACTGACAGAGAAGGGCAAGGAGTGGGTATTGGAGGGCAAGCATGGCTATTGAGCCCAGCCCATTGCAACCTGGAGCTTGGGCCTATGGGCCATTGGGTTTCTTGGGTGGAATTGGGGACCTCTTTGCCAAGGACAGCAACAGCTGTAGGGATTACATATATATCTTCTCCCTTCATCTTCTCCAAAAGGCCTTGAAATTACCAGGGAGAAGCCCTGACTTTTGCCATCTTTCACCTTGATTGCCTTCCCTGTCCAGCTTCATGACTAGGATAAACCCCCTGCCAATTCTTCCTTTGTCTTCCCTTTGACTGAGTTGGGAGTAGTGGTGTTCGTGAACAGTCTGCTGCCCTTTGTCCACAGAACGTGCGCTGAGCTCTTCCCAGTCAAAGCTAAGGTTACGTACAACCACTTTATCTGAAGCAAGATTTCTTGCTTTGCCCTGTTGGAACCGTCTCTGTGCTGGGGTTCAAATGGTTCTTTGGTTCTTTATGCTGTCCAGAAGGTGGGGGAACATGCTGTTCAGTAGCAGCTGGCCTGGTCCTAGACTCTGCAGGTGTCCATGCACAGGGATGGATTAGGATCAGATGCTGGTTTTTTGGTTTTCACACAGTTGCCTGCCCCCAGGATCCCTTTGATGAGATTTTTTTGGTTTCCTGGCATGGCGCAGAAATGTTGGCATTGGAGGTAGGGGGTGGGGTGGTAATCGCATCCAGTTTTGGGGGGCAGAGCTATGTTTCACAGCTGCCTTTTCTCAAAACCAGTGGCTGATGGATAAGGAGGTGTACTGCCAGTGGACAGCTGCGTGACCTGCACCCTGTCTCTTCCCTCACACCTCACCCAAGGGGTGCCTGGTCACACGAGTTTCTCTGCTTCCCTGTGCTGCACAGACGCTGAACTGTGTGAACCCTGAGAACGAGAACGCCCCCGAGATTCCTGTTAAGGTGCTCAACTGCGACACCATCACGCAGGTGAAAGAGAAGCTGCTGGATGCCGTGTACAAGGGTGTGCCCTACTCCCAGAGGCCCAAAGCAGGAGACATGGACCTGGGTAAGATAAAGATGGAGGTGCTTTCCAGCAGGTTGGTACAGGGGCAGATGGCGTATTCCAAAAGCAGCCCAGAGCAAGGCCTGCTTGGGTGTTTCTGCAGAAGCTGGAGCACACAGTTATAGGGTTTCTTTTGGAGCCTGGGGCCTAGAAGAACCACTGCATTTAATCTGCTATCCTGTTGTGTACAAAACATGTACTTACAGCTATATGCCAGATATAAACTAGGTTTCATATCAAGCAGGTTACACTATACACACCAGTATGTGCAATAGGACCAGCTTGGCATTTAATGCTCTATGCTGGCATACAGGAGAGAGATCTGGCTTTGCTTCCCAGTCCTGGGCTCCTAGTTTCCAGACTGCCAAGGGCAGGCAGTGTTGTAGTGATGACATTCTCAGCCCCTAAGTGGGAGAGTTGCAACTCCCAGCCCCTAAGTGGGAGAGTTGCAACTCCCAACAGTGACCCCTGGGAATAATTTACAAGGAGCATAGACTGGATGTCTGGAGCAGGGGAGGAGCCCATCTAGTCCATCAGAATTGTGGTCTTGGAGGTTTTGACCTCAAAAGCAGTGGGTGCAAGATGTGGGGGAATCCTCACAACAATGTCAGGTCACTGGGTGATTAAAGGGTGCATTGCAATAAATGGGGGAGGATAGATTGGAGCTCCCTTCTGTGGCTTGGTTTGTGATTTAGGATGGACAGGGTGACATAAAATTATTTGGAAATTTTCGGACCAAAAATGTTTCTCCCCATCAAAAAAAATGACCAATTCATTGAAACCACAATATTTTGTGGAAACTGTTTGGCTTTGATAAACTTCTACCTGTCAGCTAACCTGGCCTCTTAAGTTCTAGTCTGAAGGAAGCCCGATCATTCTGACTGCCTCAAAGCAATTCAGGGACTTCAAGGCTCCCTGTTGTAGGGGTGGGAGCCCCATGCTCCTGGTATAGGAGCATGGGACTCTTT